AGCCTGGTTTAAGCTCGACCTCGTGTCGAGTACCTTTATCCTTCAGTAATTCGCACGGAACAGTTTCAGGGAATACATCCTTGAATTCAACCAAATCTTCATAGAGAGGATTTTTCTTGAGCGATTCCCACGATTGGGAGTCATATCGCTCAATTCGTGTCTTTTCATCTAGGACACTCTCGTCCATAGATGAACTACTGAGAACTCTCTCGTTCTCAGTAAACACTGTTGCTGACCTTATGTCGGTTACATACTCGTCGTCAGCGACGAGTACGCAGATCTGCTTGACTTTGCCACTACGCAGATCACGCAAGAACCTTTTATGTTCGAGCGTTGGCAACTGAGTGATCTCCGAAGTCAACTTCGGAGGCGCAATCATATCAAGTGTATAAGCGCCTACGCTTGATCCGTCATTGACTAGGACATTCAATGTCTCTGTCATTTCCTGGGGACTTATTCCCTCAGGCCTCGAAGGACTTATTCCTTCGGCTTCCCGGGGACTTATTCCCGCGGGTTTCGGGGAACTTATTTCCGCCGTGTTTGTAATCTTGGGACTTAATCCCATTACTTCCTCTAGCTGGGGTTGCGCAACCACAGCGAGATCCTCTACGAAAGACTCTCCAGTCGATCTAGGATTATCGTTTCGCTTAACCTGAGCGATCGATTGTTTCTCTTCTAGATGTTCCCCGCTAGGGATACATCTTTGTCCCGGTCCACACGACTTATTCGAGTGGTGGACCTTCGGCGCAGCCTGTGTTTCCTCACAGCCGTCGGAACTTTGCTCCGAAGTGTAACCGTTTGGTACACTAAGGTTTCGTGCAGTCGTACTAACGACCGTACCACAAGTGAGGTCATCGCACTCACTCGTAGTACATCCACACGCTTGTGGACGCTCCAAAACGTTCATCAGATGGCCATCTGATGAACAAGCGGCAGGCATCGTTACTGTCCGATGTTGCCAGTTTACCCGTGGTTCGTACCTTCTGAGCCACGGTAATCTAAGGATGACATCAAATTTGTCATCCAAATCCAAATACGATAAAGTCATCGTCACATTGAGTATCTTCTAGCGTATAGTGAATCTTCGCTATACGCTTCATGACGGTTACGGATGCGCCTTTCGCAAGACGTACCGTCATCCTCATAGAAGGTGTGTCACACTCAACAAACCTTAAGTGACCATCTTCCAGCGATTGGCGTCGCACAAAATTGTTGGACGCCCCACAATCAACTAGAGCTCGAAGGGACAACTTATTCGTCACTTCGAGTTTCAAGGTAATGAGTGAGATCTCATTACCTAGAGCAGCAACGCACAACGTTTGTGTGTTGGGAGCAACCTTCATCAAGAGGCCTACAAATTCTCTTGACGTTGCTGGACCAGTAGGGTGCTCCGCACCTACTGATCCTGTCCATTTTTGACGGTCCATCCCGTTGTTGCGTTTTTGCACCAACGGCGGACCCGTGTCCCTGCCTCTTTCTCATGGGTGGACGGTAACTACGCCCAGTGTTGCGAGACACTGGACGAGGGGCACTACACTCGTAAGCGTAGTGTCCTGTCTTTTGACATCTGTTGCATCTCTGCAACTTCTTGTAGTCTGTAGAGCGAGCCTTCTCGCTCTCTACATAACAGAGTTCCATCGGCTCTGGACCTCCGTGTCATATCGTCTCGGTTGACGATATGATGTCGAGCTGGCGCGAGCCTGTCTCAGACTGACGTCTTCCTGCTCCGCAATGTAAATGGCTTGTTCTAGTGAATCTAGGTAAAGTCGGAAGAGGTGAGTCTTGGCGGGACCATCCTCAAGACCCTGCATGAACACCGAAACCAACGTGTGTTCATCCACCGGATTGGAACTTATACAACTCGTGAGATGTCGTACATGTTGTGCGTAAGCGTGCACATCACGCTTACCCTGTTTGAGCTTCAAGAGTTCGGTTCGAGCCCTGAACTCAGCTCTAGGCGGTTCAAACGTTTGTCTGAGCCGCGACTTGAAGACTTCCAACGACCCAAACGCATATAGGTCGTGCAACTTGAGCCCCAGTGCCCAAGTCTTGGCATGTCCTGCCAGATTTGACTGGGCAAATGCAACTTGCATATCCCCGTCGTCGATGCGACGCGCCCTTATGGCGTCATCCAATTCGACGGACCATCTCAAGAGGGAGTCCTCTTCCACTCTCCTATACTTGGAGATGTCAATCTTCAAGGTTTCGGGTCGACGCAAGTTGTAACGGGCACCCTGAAGCTTGTACTGGTGACAGTACAAGCTACTTATTCCGATGACAGAATAAGGCGGTGCCTCGTAACTTCACGTACACTGGTAAGTGCAGAGGAAGACGGTAAGAAAAAGCGAGTACTTGGTTAGAGTAAAAAGTAGAACTGTATTTAGTATAGTTAATGTCTGTTAATAAATCACTATTTATCTTCATCTAACTATGTCTAAATACAAATGTGTAAATTGATTATCTGCTCACCACTCATTGCGTGCGTCTGTCGTGGCGCGTCTTCGTTGGTTGATATTATGGCCTATATCAACCAATTAGGAACTACTCGTAAGTGCTACAGAATATTTGTCCTTGTGACAATATTCTGAGAATATAACTCTTATAGTTATATTCTATTAACAATTTCTTGTAAATTGTTTTGTAACGGTTCACCCCGTTACAGTGGTTCGAGGACCCGAGACATCACTCGTTTAAGCGAATCCCATATGAAAAACGCAGCGTCTACCGACGCATTACATGTTAGAGCCCATTTTTTGGCTCTACCGTCTAGTTTTGAAATAGCTAAGCTAATTTCCTGTTGTTCAGATTGGAGCATCGCAACATTAATAGCCATATCGACTTCTCGGATCTAGGGAAGGAGAGTTCCCCCCTCTCTTTTCCGTCGAAAATCTTATCGCTACGATAGAGCGGGCAAGCCTTAGGCGCACTGTCAGGTACCGGGATGTGCCGTGTAGGTACAGCTGAGTCTAAATGGTCATAAATCTGCCCGATTAGCGTGGCCTTAACCTGCATGAACGCATCGAAGCGTGCATTGAGCACTTTTTGGCCTTGGGCCACAATGTGGTCGACCTGCTCGACCCCAATTAACGCTCTAAGCTTACCGAACGCGAGACGCTGGGCCTCGGAGAGGTAGTCAAGACTCTCCATCTCTGTATAAAGGATCAGTCGAAAACGACTCAGGTGTAGGATTGACTACAAGTGCTACCAAGTGAAGCGGAGCTACCACAGCTCAAAAGTCAGAGGAAGACTTATGGGTTAAGCCAGAGGCTTACGGCTAGCATTAAAATATTATCAAGGAACTATTATATCAAGTTTAAGAGTCGGCTAGTTATACGGAACTTAGCGCGGACCCTATAAGTTATTATCTCAGACTACTGTAGTTCTAAGGAAATACACGCACAATGTCTAAAGATGGATACTGGAGTCTAAGGACTCTTTAACTCACGACAGTTCTACGGAACTGTCAGGCGCAACGTGCGAAAGGGTGGAAGTCTACGGACTTCTGCTCAAAGTGAGAGCTGAGTTTTATTCAGATTTTATATCAAGGAAAATCCTATTTTAAGTACCCTACATTCTACTAAACTAGAACTAATTTAAATATTAGTATTTGAACTAAATAAATGGTTGGCACATCACTCAGTCATCAAATGATGACGGTACATACTACTTCCACGGTAATTACCGTAGCTCAGATAATACCGACTAATCGGTATTCTCTATGAAACTTAGATCCAAGACCACACTTGTCTCCCATATCACATATGGGAGGTCTTCGACCAATTTAGCCAATGGCTAGTGTGACTCCGTTACAAGTCATCACTCTTTAACAAATAGTAATCGCCTTGACAAGGCTAACACTCTTACAATAAGCTATGCCTTAACTAGGCACTAGCGCATAACGATTTAAAAGGGGAACTGAACTTTATTTATTCTTTGAATATGGTAATAAATCCCTAAAACCTTGCCTGACTGACTTCTACATTGCAATTATATGACAGAAGTCTTATCCCTCTTCCCTAACATATAAGGTGCGGTATTACCGTATGTACGTGGTACCAAGACTGTACCACTTAGACCTACCGATCTTTACTTCGTGTGGACACACAACATAACTGGGTCAATAGCCGCCGTGTAATCCCGTTACAGATGTAAATTGTTATCAAGCTAAAAAAGCCAGGTTTATAAAACCTTTTATAGGGATTAAATGGTTCTGACCTCCTATTTCTTGAGACCCTCAATCTCTTTCTGCTTAACTGTCTACTCAAAGTCATAATGTGAACAGGCCTAGATCATTTTCAGCGTGGTTTTCAATCAATCTATATCAATACATCTTCGTTCTCACACATTAGCTTTGTCCTTGAAAACATCTTGTGGCTCATAGCTACCAATTACAGCCCGAAGTCCAGGCAATGCTGCATCCATGGTGTAACAGGGCACCCTGAAGCTTGTACTGGTGACAGTACAAGCTACTTATTCTGATGACAGAATAAGGCGGTGCCTCGTAACTTCACGTACACTCGTACGTGCAGAGGAAGACGGTAAGAAGAAGCGAGTACTTGGTTAAAGTAAAAAGTAGAACTGTATTTAGTATAGTTAATGTCTGCAATTAATCACTATTTATCTTCATCTAACTATGTCTAAATACAAATGTGTAAATTGATTATCTGCTCACCACTCATTGCGTGCGTCTGTCGTGGCGCGTCTTCGTTGGTTGATATAATGGCCTATATCAACCAATTAGGAACTACTCGTAAGTGCTACAGAATATTTTTCCTTGTGACAATATTCTGAGAATATAACTCTTATAGTTATATTCTATTAACAATTTCTTGTAAATTGTTATGTAACGATTCACCCCGTTACATCACCCCCCTTAACCATCAGTCACTTTAGTGACTGATTGACTAAATGGATACTCGTCCCAAATCATTTGGGACAGGGTTTGCACTTGTTAATCCGAGTCCACAGTCCATAAGTTTCATCGCATGGTTAACAAGCCCATGCAGTGCGCGAGCAAGGCCTCCGAGAGCGCGTCCGCACGTCTCTGTGCGGACGCCGAAGCAGAAACCACAGCAACTGATGTCTCATCGGTTGCTGAAGCGACCCAGCCTGTGTCACTTGGTGATGCAGGCGCTGGTCATGAAGACACTCATGTCGTCACAGAGTACGAGCTCGGTGTCTCGTACTCCCCTGATACGGAAGACGGATCCGTATCGACGGCGATTGAATCCAAGCCGCCTGCCAAGCGTGGCATAGACGATGCTTTGCGTCGTAGCATCTTTGGTTCATCTGATGAATCAGATGAACCATCGCCGAAGCGTAGGCGCTCGAGGTCGCGAGACTCGGGCGCTCACAGTGGTGTCGGTTCTCCTATGGACACCACTTCGCAACGAGGTGCCAGTACTTCTGTCGGCACATCGCAGGAAGAGCGGGATCGCAATGTCTTGCGTCTCGCTCCTGAGAAGAAGGCATGTATGCCTCCGAAATTTGTCATGGATCACTTGTCGGCGACGACGAGTGATCGTTATCGAACACGGTTGTTCGATTCGTCAAGGATCCATCACCTTGACCCCAGTGCGAAAAACTATCGCGCTGAAAACGAATTCTTCATCGATGCTTTCTTTAGACATCGATGGTACAGTGGGAATCACAAGCGTGATGGTCCCTCACTGCTTCAGGCGTGGAACGCCTACATCCGTAACCTTGAGGATGTAGGTCGTGACGCTTGGAACGACAAACTTATCAAAGCTCGTGATAAGTTTGAAAAGCGAACCCCGACAGGTGCACGCTACAAGCTGCATCGTCTGTCAAGGGAGAAAGGATTACCCTGCCCTCTCTTGGGGAGACTCGTGCCCGTGTTGTGTGAACACCTCTGCACGAGCACCTAAGGAGGCTTACCTCCTTACCAGCCCGTGGTGGCGCGTACGTATCTCTAGTGAGATGTACGAAGGGATTGACAACCTGAAATCCCTTTACGACCGTGCCGGGAAGACTTTCTCCGGCGGTCCTTCTGCGGCACAGGATGTGCCGCGTCGTACTGCTCAACCAGACCCAGTACGTCGATCATCAGTTGGGAGCGGGGCTCCCAAGAATCCCAGGACGGGGGGATAGCCGCGCCACCGGACGAGATAACTCGTCCGACGTCCGTTCACGTCGCGGTGGCTCAACAGCTGCTCAACTAGATAGCGCTGGCCACCGCGAGAGTCCTCTAATGGAGGTGGAGGAGGAGGAAAGACGCTCTCCACACGATCATGTGGATCGGTGTGTTCCCGAGAGCTTTTTTGATCGCGTAACGCAAGGGTTACGCGACGATCTCGAACATGAGCGGAATAGGCGTCTCCAGATGGTGGACACTGCCTCGAAGCATCGAGCTGAGTTTGCCTTTGCTCAGCTTGATAACGAGAGATCTCTGACATCTCTTCGTGACGAGCTAAGGGTAGCTCGTGAGATTGTTGATCGGTCTCGGGATGAGGTAGCTGCTCTTCAGACCCTTGTTGATGCCCATCATCGGGAGCACAAGGCTCTCTGCGAGATGCTTGAGCGCAAGGGCGTTCTTCATCGGAAGAAGCAGCGTACTGATGGTACGGCTTAAGCCGACCAACGTAAAACGTGGGATGCGTTCGCATCTTACGTGGTAACTCGATCGTGTATGCATTGCCTAGGCGGTGCAATACACGAAATGGGCCGATGTACTTGGGTAGAAGTTTACTACTACCCAAGTTAGTCACTACATGCTTTGGTAGATTAACCGTAGACAGTAGGACTAAGTCACCTTTATAAAATAAAAGGGTGTTTGCCCTTCCATTCTTGTCAGCGTTTTGCTTTTGCTTATCCACCGCTTCGGCGATGGAGTCTTGCACAAAACGGACTACCGTTTCACGAGCCAGTATGAACTCATCTGATGACTCGTTAGCTTCAGTGCGCTGTGAGCGCACTGCAGCAACATCAACCTTTTCTTCAGTGAAAGCTTCCGCACTCTCACTGGCATCATCTTCTTCAGTGAGGGCTTCCGCACTCTCACTGGCATCATCTTCTTCGATATCGATGTTATCGATATCGGCATCAAACGCAATGACCTCTTCGTCAGAGCGTGATGAGCGTGAACCAAATCGGTTTTTGCTCGCGCGAGTCTCTCCCCCTTAAACCAGAGTTACACTCTAGTAAGGTGGGTACACGCGGATGGCGTAAGCCATTCACGTAGAACGGTGTATGTGTCGTGGACGCATGCACCGAGTTGTTAATGGCAAACTCTACCATTGGCAAAAACTCACTCCAACTCTTAAAGGAGTGTACGTATCCTCGAAGTATCTCTTCGAGGACACGATTGGCACGTTCCGTCTGACCATCTGACTCTGGATGATCAGATGTCGACATCTTCAAGCGCGTTCCGAGTGATTTGAACACGGACCGCCAGAAATCGGCTGTGAATCGTGGATCTCTGTCTGATACGAGTTCACGGGGTAAACCATGAAGTCGGAAGATGGTGTCAATAAAGACACAAGAACAGCCACTTGCCGTGATTGACTCTGGTACAGCCACAAGGTGTACCATTTTGCTGAATCTGTCAACAAATACGAGAATACCCGTATTCCCGCGTGCGTCTTTGGGTAACCCGAAGACGAAATCCATTGAGATGGATTCCCAGCACTCAGCCGGAACCGGTAGAGGCTGTAAAGGTGCACGCAGTGAAGGACTTGACTTCACTCGTTGACAGACTTCGCATGCGCGGACATACTTTCACACAAACTGATACTGGCGGGGCCAGTAAAAGTCCCGGCTCACCGTGAGATATGTTTTCTCCCGGCCACGATGTCCTTCTATCGGATCATCGTGATACTCGAACATGATCCGCAAACGCAGATCAGTATCATCTGGGATGACAACACGTTGTGTGTCACCAGTAACGGCTATATAATACAGTAAACCGTTACGAGTAGTATATCGATCTGATGCAGATCGATACGCAGGCGACAATCGTTTCAACGATTCTCGAGATGGTTGGGAGAGATGTGACAACAACTTCACTATCTCACCATCTTGGGCGTATGCCCGCCTCACATCATCATACAACGTTGTAGATGGAACTGAGGACGTCATAACCGCAACAGTGACTGTCTCACTGTTGGGTTTCGCGACTGTTTCAAAGTCGGGACGACGTGAGAGTGCATCAGCGACGACATTAAGTCGTCCTGGTTTGTACTCGACCGTAAAGTTGTATTCTGCAAAGAATGACAACCACCGCGCCATTCGTTGTGAAAGGTGCGGGCTGTTCACTGCCGTGCGTAAGGACGCATGGTCAGTGTAAACAATGAAGGGTCTATCTCTTAATAGATAGACTCTGAACTTCGCGAGTGCATACTTCATGGCAAGGAGTTCCTTGTCATGCACTGGATAGTTCCGCTCAGCTGGTTGCAGCTGACGCGACTGATAGCAGACGACGCGTTCAACGCCTTCTAGGTCGTACTGCATTAATGCACAGCCGATTGCGAAATCGCTGGCATCACAGACCACATGAAATGGCCTGTCTTGATCGGCTATTGCTAGGACTGGGGATTGTATCAAGCTCTGCTTGACACCATCAAAGGAGCGCTGACATTCAGCGTTCCATAACCACCTCTCGTTCTTTTTCAACAAACGAGAGAGGTGCACAGTCATCTCGGCGTAATTGCGTGAATACTTATGCAAACAAGCCGCTATACCAAGGAATATTTGAAGACATTTGACATCAACCGGCACAGGCCAGTCGGTGATCGCCTTGATCTTTTCGGGATCAGGACGTACACCGTTCTTACCAACGATGCACCCAAGAAGTGGTATTTCGCTTGCTGCAAATATGCACTTCTTGAGGTTTGCATACAATTGATGCTTTCGCATGATTGTAAGAACCTGTCGGACGTGGTACCTGTGAACCTCAACGTCCGACTTTCCATCCATAGCTCGACTATGGATGAATACGTCATCGAAATAACTCGGCGCGAATTCTCGTACTGGTCTCAACAGATGTGTATCACATCTGTTGAACGTGGCAGGGGCATTACTAAGCCCTTGTGGCATTACTAGCCATTCCCAGAGCATGCCGCTAGGCGTGCTCACTGCGGTATAGGGTATATCCCGTTCCCGCAAAAGGATTTGATAGAAGCCATCCATCAAATCCATGGACGAAAAGATGGTACTCTTTGACATACCATCAATGATTACGTCCTTCCTCGGTATCGGCGTCTGAGCCGGTACCGTTGCAGCATTCAACTTGTTAAATGCATGCACTATCCGCCACCCTCCTGTTGCTTTTCGCACACAGAAGGTCGGAGAGACATGTGGGGATGTTGATTCCCTCACATGACCCGCAGCTTAATGATCGGCAAAGAACTTGTCGATCGCAAGTACTTGTTCACGAGGCAGTGGTCACTGCTTCATGACACAGTACTTCGAGCCTGGTTTAAGCTCGACCTCGTGTCGAGTACCTTTATCCTTCAGTAATTCGCACGGAACAGTTTCAGGGAATACATCCTTGAATTCAACCAAATCTTCATAGAGAGGATTTTTCTTGAGCGATTCCCACGATTGGGAGTCATATCGCTCAATTCGTGTCTTTTCATCTAGGACACTCTCGTCCATAGATGAACTACTGAGAACTCTCTCGTTCTCAGTAAACACTGTTGCTGACCTTATGTCGGTTACACACTCGTCGTCAGCGACGAGTACGCAGATCTGCTTGACTTTGCCACTACGCAGATCACGCAAGAACCTTTTATGTTCGAGCGTTGGCAACTGAGTGATCTCCGAAGTCAACTTCGGAGGCGCAATCATATCAAGTGTATAAGCGCCTACGCTTGATCCGTCATTGACTAGGACATTCAATGTCTCTGTCATTTCCTGGGGACTTATTCCCTCAGGCCTCGAAGGACTTATTCCTTCGGCTTCCCGGGGACTTATTCCCGCGGGTTTCGGGGAACTTATTTCCGCCGTGTTTGTAATCTTGGGACTTAATCCCATTACTTCCTCTAGCTGGGGTTGCGCAACCACAGCGAGATCCTCTACGAAAGACTCTCCAGTCGATCTAGGATTATCGTTTCGCTTAACCTGAGCGATCGATTGTTTCTCTTCTAGATGTTCCCCGCTAGGGATACATCTTTGTCCCGGTCCACACGACTTATTCGAGTGGTGGACCTTCGGCGCAGCCTGTGTTTCCTCACAGCCGTCGGAACTTTGCTCCGAAGTGTAACCGTTTGGTACACTAAGGTTTCGTGCAGTCGTACTAACGACCGTACCACAAGTGAGGTCATCGCACTCACTCGTAGTACATCCACACGCTTGTGGACGCTCCAAAACGTTCATCAGATGGCCATCTGATGAACAAGCGGCAGGCATCGTTACTGTCCGATGTTGCCAGTTTACCCGTGGTTCGTACCTTCTGAGCCACGGTAATCTAAGGATGACATCAAATTTGTCATCCAAATCCAAATACGATAAAGTCATCGTCACATTGAGTATCTTCTAGCGTATAGTGAATCTTCGCTATACGCTTCATGACGGTTACGGATGCGCCTTTCGCAAGACGTACCGTCATCCTCATAGAAGGTGTGTCACACTCAACAAACCTTAAGTGACCATCTTCCAGCGATTGGCGTCGCACAAAATTGTTGGACGCCCCACAATCAACTAGAGCTCGAAGGGACAACTTATTCGTCACTTCGAGTTTCAAGGTAATGAGTGAGATCTCATTACCTAGAGCAGCAACGCACAGCGTTTGTGTGTTGGGAGCAACCTTCATCAAGAGGCCTACAAATTCTCTTGACGTTGCTGGACCAGTAGGGTGCTCCGCACCTACTGATCCTGTCCATTTTTGACGGTCCATCCCGTTGTTGCGTTTTTGCACCAACGGCGGACC